TTAAAACACATTATTATTATTGTAAAGAAAATGATTTATTAATTTTTAGTATTATAAATGATTAATTTAGATTGAAAGAACAAAAAGGGTGTTTGTTTCCATTTACTTATAAGAGGTCTAATTGGTTAATTAAAAGTTGTTTAATTAATAAAAGGAGTCCAATTAAATAAAATTAATTACTTTTTATTAAGAATAAAAAGGCAAGAAAAAAATATAGATTTAGATAAAAACTTATTTAGAAAATAAATTAAATATTTTTGTTAATTAATTAAAAGAACCATTAATTGGGAAGCTGATTAGGGTTGATCATTATAAAAATTAACTTGATTAATTAAGAAGGTAAATGATTAGATTGAAGATTAAGTGGGTTGATTAGGTTGATTAAAGGTTTAATTGGTGGTTAACAGAGGGTTAAAGGTTAATGTGTGTGGTTTGTGGGGTTAGTGTGTGTAGTGATTAAACATTACAACAAGAGTAAACACCAAATCAAGCGAACAAAAACCTAAACCCTGATTTGCTCTAACTCCCTCCGTCGACGCTCGCCGTCCGGACTTCCTCTCCGATCGCAACCTCCCCCGATCATCTCCTCTCTCTTCTCGCGGTTACATCAAAACCTGCAAAAACTAATAGACATAGTGATACTGATCAAATTCACACAAGAATTTTACCCAATGTGGATTGATGACGGCTTGGTGTGGACGACGGTGATGGAGATCTCGACGACTTTCTTCTAGCTTGCTGAAGATGTCGAACTGAAGCCTTCGGCGGTGTGAAGATTTCTGACGAAAAGGAGATAAGCTTCCTTCTCGCAACTTTCTGGGTTTCTTCGATTTGGGGAAGTTTCTGAATTTTTGTGTGTTTTTGCTGTGTGAATATTGTTTCTATTTGTTGTTTCTTTTGTGTGGATGTGGTGGATTCTTTTTTGCATGACCGTGCCGACTCCTAACTCAAGATACGGTTTGATTTTTCTAACACCTCAAAACTTTTCATCTTGAAGAGCAACCATTATGTAGGCCAAAGTGGGTAGTAATGAAAACTACTTCTCCGACGAATTGTCTGTCTAATACCGCTAGCATGAAAATTACCAATGCATTGGTCTTGTCCTTTAAATGTCGTATGCTAATGAAGCTTTCGTTTGTGCAGGTGCCGGTAATTGCTGCGAGATATACTAAATAGTGTTGCGACAAACACTTTACGCAGCAGGGATACCTCGGCAATATTCGAACCGATAGTTGCTTGAACTCCTCACCTGTCCATGTCAGATTTCTTTGTCCCTTAATGCTGATGCGTGACAAACTTCTGTTAGTTCTGGCGCTTCTTGCCGGTCTACAATAGTAGCAGTCGCATCGCAACTTGTGAGCTTGCGTTTGATCACTCTGTACCAGCACATTACCGTTACGGTTCGTATACTGCCAGGGTGTTTAAGATGGTTTAGTAGTTGCTTTCCAGGACTTGGTTGTTTATAGCTTTTTCTTGCTGTCCAGGTTTTCGAATATGCCGAATTCGGTTCTAATTTTCCTTCATAGGAGCGCAGACAAAATGGCAGCATCTGATGGTTCCGACATCTTCGGTAAGAAACCCCAAAACCCGAGTTGTCAGGAAGAGCTCGCTTCTTTGACAAAGTTAATGAATGTTTGAAGTTACTGGTGGAATGCGTATCGCGGTAGCTACGACGAAGTTTGATGGTATGAGGAGACTTTGAGATGGTTGTATCAGAAAAACTCTAGATCAAGGTGCTATTACGTTTCATCCAAGGAGCTGGACTCGTCCTGCTGTGGGAGTCCACACGTAGTTGTAGTCAAATCAATTTGTAACCGTCCCAATTCGTAGTATTAGGTCTCGTATCTTTCCACAGTTCCGGCTTGCAATGACTTGGAACATGATGCCTTGTATTATGTTTTAAAGCTAATATGAAATTATCGTGTTAGTCTCACAGTAGTAGCAACATCTTGAACGTGAAGTCTCATCAGTAGTTCAATTGAATTCTTTGATTTTTATGTACAGCATTTCATGCAAGATCTCAAGCGATACGCATGGGTTCCTAATGTGAACACAACACAACATTCAAATGATTTGAATATTGAATTTGAGTTTTTTTCCCTTTTTTAGAATGTGAACACTTGAACTTGTCCTTCTAATTCTTGAAATGGGTTTTTGGCTATATGTGAAATTCTTGTCATAAACCCGGAATTTGACTCTTAACCTTTGAAATTGCAATGTTTGGTATCCTGCACTTCATTTGTAAACGACCTCTGAATACTCTTATCTTGGGAATTAAATACATAGTCTTAAAACTTAACTGTGAACCCATGACTTTCATTCTCGCACCGTGACCGATACCTCACACTTTCACAGTCTGGTTTAAGTAATCATACAAATGGAGCCCATATTAGAATCAACTAGCCATGCTTTGATATGCTCGACCGTGAGGATGAGTACCATCTCTACCTGAAATTATCACACCTGCACAGGTTGGTTAGTCGCAAGAAACATAGATAAAATGCGCAAAAGAGGTGGCATCTTACAGTCAAAAATTAGGGTGCAACATATACTATACGCCTCAACCAAAAAAAAATGTACTTTCGGATTCATGGTGGACAAGTTCTTAGGTTTCTATTTGATCGAAGCGGTGATTCAAATGAGCTCACCAACTTCAAAGAAGGAAATGGTATGTTAACCGCTTTGAATAGATTTATTTCAAAGTCAATATGGCACGCTTTGTCTTTTTACTGACTATTGAAAAAGAAAATTGATGAGTGGATAATTGATTGTGAGGAGGCGTTTAGATCTTTGAAGAAAAATTTGGCCACACCCTCGTACTTACCCGACCATTTTCGAAGGAAGTTTTGTATTTAAACTTAGTTGTTTCTGAAGAAGCTGTAAGTGCCATATTAATCAGAGAATCTTATGCGCTCCAAAAAATGGTGAACTTCATTTCTAAAGCATTGGCAGGGGTAGAAACATGATACCAGAAGATCAAAAGGGCAGCCTTGTCATTAGTAGCAGCATCTCACAATTTACGTCGGTATTTCCTCACACATTCCATTGTCGTCCGGACAGAGTTGCCCCTAAAATGTGTGCTTTACCAACCGGATCTGATAAGATGTTTGACGAAGTTGGTCATCAAGTTATTCAAATTCGAGGTGTCCTTCAAAGCAAGGAAAGCCCTAAAAGCCTATGTATTCTCTAACTTCTTAGATGAGCCCTCCTAGATGATTCAGATTCGACAATATATCGAGTCTGAGATACCTCCGACAGATCCATCTGGTGCAATGTTGGTTAAGAAAAGGTTAAAGAGTACACTATGGTTGAAGGAACCTTATACAAAAGGGATTTTTCCACGTCAGTGTTGAGGTGCTTGGCAAAAGTCGGAGCTCATTACCCCTCTTGGAAGTGCATGAAGGAATAATTGGACAGCACTTGAGAGCAAGAGTGTTGGCTAAGAAAATTCCGAGGGTGGATGCAACTGGACGACCATGGTCCAGGTTGTTTGGGAATACGTGAAAAAAATTTATCAATGCCAAAGGCACCGTGGTGTCTTCAATGTCTCAGCCATCAAACTTCACATATTAACGTTGCCTTGGCCGTTCATGCACTGAGGAATGGATAACTTCACATATTACCCCCTTCTTTTTTTTTTTGGGAATATCACATGATAATTGATAAATATGTTAGTTTATTAGTCATCCTTAAAGAAAGTTTGATTTAAGTTGTAGTTTCTAACTCAAAATATGTTATTGAGCTCAACAACAAAAATCAATAAACCAATTAAGCCATTTTTATTAACTCGTAACCCGTTCTAATCCAACCCGTCCAAACCGATAAAAAAAATGGATGGAAATGGTCTTATATGGCTCAACCGCATGTTGGTTTGGGTGAGACTTTTGGATCTGAAGTCTTTTAACTCGATCTGTTGTCCATTCCTAAGTCATCATTAATTGTTTTTTTATATATTTTTAAACTTTATTGTATATATCTATTTTAAAATAGATATTTCCATTTTCTTGAAAATGAAAATGATTAGTTACTTTTAAGTTTTGAAAAAAAAAATCTAAGGATAATAGTTTCTCGTCCTACCAGTCTTAATCATCCTATAAAAGAAATGTAAGTCAATATAAATCCAATGCCACAATTTGCATCACTCAGTAAGTTGAGCAATATAAGAATGGCAGGCACACCTACCACTAGGAACATAAAAATGAAACATGTGAGTGATATCCACGATGAATTATAGAGAAAGTAGTAGTTCTTTTAAATAAAAAAATTAGAAAAAATAGAAACTTTGCGTTTTATATACTTCAGTCAATACCTTGCGTTCCAAAGTCCACCTTATCATATACTCCCATATCAAACAAGGTCCATATCATTATTAGACAGTGCTTATGTTCTGTCCCAAGCTTCACGGCAAAGATGTTTCAATGGACCTCAAGTCTGCGTCACTTCGGCTACGAGATAAAGTCGATTTTGAGTGTGAGAATTTTACCATTCATTATAATTTTACTAATACCAATTTTAATAAAAAATGATAGTGATTTCTTTGACTGATTCAATGATTTAAACTAGCATTATTAGCTTAGCACAAAGAAAAAAAGACCATGTCTACTTAAGTCAGTAACCCATTCCCTACGATTTGGTAAGAAACTATGGCTTCTAAAAATATTGAAAAGTGACTTTTTGATTTTAGTTATGCTTAGTCGTTGCACTGCTACAAAATTTCTTACCTATAAATAACTTGTATGCCTTTCAAAATAGCCATAGAAGATATACACAAAGAATAATTAGTCAGAAAGAAACTTATTCATTTATGCATCAATAGTCAAATCTTTAATTGCCTATAGGCAATTGTATATTCACTATATTGTTAATATATATGCATATATAAATAACTATACAAAATTTCTAAATTTTCATTCTCATCAACAATCTTTCAAAACAACATCCTACCGAATCTTTTATATTCAGTTTTTGTCGTTTCGATTCGTTTTTCATAAAAACAAAAGATGGGAGGGTGTTTTTCGTCAAGAGCAGCATCCATGTCGAAGAAAATTCGTTTGGTTCATCTAAGTGGTTACGTAGAGGATTTCGAGCAACCGATTACAGTTAACCAAGTAACCAATACTAGAAATCCACCAACTCATTTTGTTTGTACCTCTCTTCAACTTCTTTCATCTTGTTCTAAGCCATTGAAAGGCGATACACAACTTCAACCAGGAAATGTTTACTTCATGCTACCTTATTCAATTCTACAAGCTGATGTTTCGCCTGTGGATTTGGCTTCGCTTGCGAAAAGGCTCACCGCGAAGGCGAAGACTAGTAGGTGTGAAGGTAAAAAGTCATTGAAAGGTGTTCCTTTGTCGAACCAGGATGGTTTGAGCAGTATTTGGAGTTCACCGTCGATGAGTCCAGGAAGAGTCGCGGGGGCTGAGCAATTTGGTATGGCGTATGGAGGACGGAGCACGTGTAGAGGGCGGTTATGGAGACCTCTGTTGGATACTATTAGAGAGAAGTCATTCAATAGGAGTAGTGAATCAGATTTGAAAGAAAATCTATGAAGTTTGCTTAATGTTCTTGGATTGAGATAATACTAGAGAGAAATAAGGCATGTTAGGTTGGTTGATGAATCTATTGATAAAAATAAAAAAACAAAAACTGAGACAAATATCTTTTGAATATTTCTTGTGCTTTATATTTCTATGAATGATGTTTAATTTCAGTTTGTTAGAAGCATTCATTTACTCAATGTAAATAATCTCAATGGTTAATTTGAAAATCAGACAGCTCAGTTATACAGTAGTAACAAAATTAGTATTTGCCAGATTATCTCACAACCTTTTAATCCATGCAATCATCTACTTAATTTAATGATATGTAATTAAAATTTATAAGGTTTATAAGATTAAGAGAATTTTCTGTCAGTGGAATTTGTAATAGCTTTGGTACAATGTAAAATTTATATATTGCATGATTAGAAATATACAAAACTTTTTAACTATTCCATATGATATATGGTTTAAAATTGTGACCAGCTTCAGCAATTGCAATTGTAATATAAAGACTTTTGAGGTCTTTGCAACCGTTTGGCATTTTCCAGTATTTTGTTTTGTAATGTAAAAGTTCATGGCATAATTTAAAAGTATGATATGATATTTAAAGTCTAAAGAGAAGGACAGGATTGAACTCAATATTTTGTTAAGACTATGGTATCCAAACATGTACTTAGAGACAAAATATGTTCCTTCTAAGAACCAACCAACATGTGTGACACTATTGTTTAGTTTATAGAGAGATTGGTTGGCCTAACTAATGATACTAATGATGACTTTGACAATAACTCATCCAATTGATAGTTTAATAAAATTGTACTAATATTATAGTATTCTTTGAAATGATAAACTATGCCATAATTGGTATCACAGGAGGACAACCGCTCGCACGTTTAAGACTTTTTTTACAGTGATTTTGAGAAGTTGGTATGTGTAGTTTCTGTCTCACCGTAATTTTCAAGTTTTTCGAACATGCAGATATAACATATTACAATGTAACAATAGGAGAGGGTGGGACCCACTTTTGAATGGGTGAACAGTCCCAATCCCCTTCTTTGGTTTGAGAAATGATGAAATGTTTAGGAACCCAAGTTACTCCTTTGGACTCTCTTTCTCTCAATTCCTCCCTTTGTTTTTCTTCCACACATTTCTTTGCTTCTCTTGCTTTTTCCCAGTCTTTGTTTAAGATGGCCTGGCTTAACTTACTCCATATCAGAGCTGATTCAGTTTGCCACACACTCTGATGAAATAAGCACAAGAGAATCTTAGATTCAATTCATGAAAATCTACACATTCACATTCCATATATTGGATAAAAAAACATGTTTATGGTGTTTTTGGTAAAAACCGGTTATCCTCTGCGCGTAACTGCAGAGACTTATTGTTTCATTACCTCTGCATCCTTAACGGTGGGAGTTTGAAGTCTTGTAATGACTTCGCTAGCATCATAGATCACTCTTTCTTCTCCATTATTTGTATCCTTCAATGTTACAGTACTGCATCATATTAAGGAACATAATCATCAAAATGTTACAATGTTTTGAGACAATTAGCAAAAGTTTTAAAGTGAGAAACTGAAACATACATACCTATCCCAATGACCATTAACCTTATATAGAATCTTAGATGTCAATGAATCAATAATCTTCCCTTTTATGACTCTTCTACTTCCACCAAATCCAAAGAAAGATTGACTTATATAACATAACTCCGCCGCGAGACCTGTTTCTACACACCTGATATTCACATTCCCGACCCAATCAATTCCCGGAACCGGAAGAATCCTTATAAACAAATTTGGCGAATTCATTTCATATGTCTCTCCATGATTAAGAAGCTTCAGTCTCCTCTTCCCGTGCACCCGCGCCTCCACCGAAGTACCGTTGAACTTCGCGACAGGATACTGACACCATATCATCTCGATGTTTTCCTTCTGATCAGTTGCATGGAGAGCAGAAACAGCAGGATGGTGCGCAACCTGTTCAAGTAGGACATTGAGATTTCCCTTGGAAACATGATGAGTCTCGCCGAGAACAGGATTGTAAGGAGCCAGACCGAAAATCGGAGGGCGCGTGGTCGATATGCTACATGTTACGACAGATATGAGTCTTTCAATTGGAGTTAATCCAGTATTGCATTTGCTTAGTAAATCTGAAGATGTGGAATATACAGATTCGCCATAGCATTGAAGTTGTGACTTTGGAAAATTGAATAATGGTGGTAGCTGCATGCATTAAGGAATCAACAATAAATGTTATTTTTTTATGGATCATGCTTAGAATAAAACGGAGCGGAATAGAATATGATAAATTTTGGATAAAATTTTACAAAAGCGAGTTGAATAATAAATTCAAATGTAAAATTAAGTATAAATTCAAAACCTATAAATTTTAACTTCAAATATAATCAATTTTAATCGGAAGCAACCAAATATATCAAATCTGAAAATCATAATCAATTCTAATAGGAAGCAACCAGATATATCAAAATCAATTATACTTCTAGTAAATTAAACTTGCCTGAAAACGTGTGAGATCAGATCCTGGCCGCACATTCTTAAGAAGACTTAAAATACGTTGCAAAAGATTGGGAGCACTGTAATTTTCCTCTGAATCAGAATCGGTTCTTAACGTGAATGGCTTTGTCAACACAATGCTATTTGCAATCTCCTGCATTTGGATACTACTATTGTGAATTTGATAATGGCTTATGTTTATAGCGTAATTGGTTGGGTTATTTGTTACTAATTCATACAATCAATCCCTATTAATCTTGGATTTTATCATAAGCACAAGTAATTAATCTCATTTCTTAAATGGAAATATATACTGTAATAAAAAGGAAAAATTACAAGCGGAAAAAACCCACAAAACCAAAAAAACGAAGTGACGAGAAACAAACCCTAAAAAAAACTAATAGCAGCGAACAAGAACGAAAAGAAAAACAACTAAGGCACCAACAATACTTAATTGAATTGAACTCTTAATGCAAAATCGGAAAGATGATATATAATAGAGTCAAATTTATATGCTCTTCAATGTGGGCGAAAATATAGGGATGATTTTGAAAGATTTTTAGATTTCTTTTTATGAATAATTTAATTGAAAATATAAGGATATTAGTTATTACATTTTTCTTAAAATGTTTTGTTAAACATTTAAAAGAGAGGTTTATACATGATTAGACGTGATATGGGTGGTACTAACTATGAAGTAAAACTGTTACTACATTATATCATATGGAGTATAATTTATTAAAAGTCTTATGGTGGGACTTATGGGTTCTATTTGGAGGCATAAGGTTGTTATGAGAGGGATCCATAAAAGATTTGACACGATATCTCACTATTTTACTATCTTTCAGTTTCAAAAGGAATATTGGGTGGTGTTGAGGCTATTTTGCAAGAATGTTAATAAAGTGTTAAGTAAGCGATATGGGGATGGTTTTTTGACTATATTTACAGTAGATTTTTCAAATGCTTTTAACATGGTAGATCGTGATGGCTTATCAAGTAGGGAAAACATTCACATTGAGTCAAACACTCACGTAAATGTCAAAGAGCACTTAAACAAGTGAGAGTGACACCATATACTCACAGAAAACCTGAAGGTATTAGGTTTATGTGTTCTTTTACTTATAAAATGTTCAACCTACACTTTTCTAAACAATGTGAGACTTAGAACTCACACTTATTTCACAACACAACTCACACTTACTTCTCAACAGATTGATCAACCTTATTGTGCGAGGCCATGGCGAGATGCCTCAATATTTCTTTGTGGGTTGAGTTTCTTTATGGTCTGACAGCAAGGTTGTAACTTGGAGATGGACATATTATGTCAACCACTAGAGTGTAACAATGTGACTCATTAGGACCAGTCATTTTTGCTCTTGTGTTACACCCATTCATTCATTATATTAGAGACAATTGTAAGTTTCTTCTTCATACATAATATCTTGATGATGGAACAATTATATGGGATTCACATGAGGTGACTAAAGTCTTTGACATCATTTAGGAGACAGGTCCAAGTTTAAGTCTTGAATTGAATATTTGTAAGATTGAGGTTTTAATGCCCTCGTGTGATGGTAGTATACTTTGTGAGGATTTTTTTCCCGTCGAACATTCGGAAAATAGTTGGGGATGAAGTTGCTTGGAGGGGTTGTTAGTCATGATGAAGGTTTTATTAAGGGGTTGTTCATGAAGAGAGCTTCTAGGGATGTTGAGTTTATGTATCATCCACCACAACTAAGGGATCCTCAGAGTGAGTTTCTTCAACTTCGATCTTGCATGGGTATTACCAAATTGTTTTTTGGCCTAAGAACGTATGAACCTAATATATATGGAGGAAGTAACCGTTTGGTTTGATAAAAAGTTGCGAAGGGAGGTTGAAGATATTGTGATTGGTGAAGGTCCTTTCTTCGGGAGCCTTCAATGGAAGGTGGTTTCTTTACCCATTTGAGTTTGGGGATTGAGTTTGTACTTGGTAGTAGAGGCTCCCTCATACACTTTTATGCCTTCTAGGGCCTAATCTTGGTTGTTATAGGATCATATATTGAGAGACACTGAGGTATATGGTATGAACGCTGATTTTGACAGAGCTTTGAATGATTTTAGTGTTGCAATTCCAGATTTTGACCTTTACAGTTTTAGTAGCAAGAACATTGTCCCTTCTAAAACATAACGTATTTTGACAGGTTCCTTTTTTAGTAAAAATATTTAGGTCATGGATGTAAAGTTTGACATGGATACAAAACAAAAATCAGTTTTTTGTTGTGTGCAAACCGCACACGCTCAAAACTTTTCCTTGCTTTTTCCATTGATGGGTTGGCTCAACATATGTCACCGTTGAAGTATCGCACTATCATGAGATACCACCTTATGATTCTCTTCTTTCCTATTGATGAGGTTTGTCATGTTGCTGCAAGGCGTGTTTGGTTATATTTAAGGAACACATGATTCATTGTAAGGAGATTTCAATCTTTAAATAGAATCATGAACTTGTTAGGGATATATCATTTGATATATTTCGATGGACCGAAGTATCTGTGAAGAATAAGGCGTCCGTGAACTTCTTGACTGACCCACATGAGAGAAGATCGACACTTAAGTCAGTAGATTATTGAGAATAATATGTCAAGTGTGAGTTGGAGTTCCACATTGGTTATAAATGTGAAGAGTTGAACATTTATAAGTGGGAGAACCCATACACCTATCACCTTAAGGTTTTGGGTAAATATGTGGTGTCTCTCTCACTTGTGTGTTGCTCTTACCCCCAATGTTTATGCTCCTCCTCATGATCCAAAAAAATGGTATCATGAGCTTTTGGTTCATAAAAGGGAACGAGTACCGAAATGTCCAAGAAGATGTGCCCCGTTGAAATCTAAATACCCAGGAAGAGGTGTATCGAAATGCCCAAGAAGACGTGTCAACGACGGTGCAAGTGTATGTGAACATAAGAGTTTCTTCTTGAGGGGGAGCATTGTGGAGTCACACTTGAGGGGGAGTGTTGAGAATAATATGTCAAGTGAGAGTTGAAGCCTCACGTTGGTTATAAATGTGGTGTGATTAACATTTATAAGTGGCAGAACCCATACACCTATCACCTTAAAGTTTTGGGTGAATATGTGGTGTCTCTCTCACTTGTGTGTTACTCTTGCCCCAATGTTGATGCTTCTTCTCATGATCAAACACAGATGTTCTGGTATACGGGTGGTTAGGAGGGAACAAACATGTGTGGACTTGACAGAGGTTTCTTCATTGATGGGACTGAGGACATGAAATTTTACTGTGGATCATACAACCCATAAAGTTTATTCAAGTAAAGTGGTCAAATATGAGAAAGCGTGTTCTAATAATCAACATGCTTTTACATCATTTACCTTCAACACTTTTAATTTTCAAGCACCAAAAACAGTAAATCTTTTATAGAGAATTCAAATATTTATGCATAACAAAAAGAAATTGGTTTTGTCATTCAATAAAAAATGATTAGCGGAAGTTCGTTGTTATTTTGTCTTATATTTCTATGTAAACTTTGTCATATGAAAAAGTTAATAACTTTTAGATAATATTTATAATAAAAATAAATAAATTTATACATATTAAAAAATAGTATTCTCATACAATATTTTTACATGGTATAAAATAATCAAAACCTATATTAGTTAATTTGAAAACAAAATAATAATATAAAAATGGGATATACACTATTATCATAAAAAATAGTTTTAAGTTAATAGTAGGATGAATGCAGATTAGAAATTATTTTAGATTGCATACCCATTAAACTCAAAATAATAATCAATACTTGCAAGTTAAGCAAATGAAAATATTATTATTGCACTCTTTTTTGGTACACAATATTATAGCACTATTCATTCCCAGCGTTATGTGCACGAAAAGAGAATCAAATAATCAATTAAAGCATGGCATTTTCACATGTACATTTACATACACAAAAGTGAAATCATTATTATAATTGAATCAATATCCATCATATAATAATAATAATCTAACAAACAATCCACTAGCAACAACATGTCAAACAAACATCGATACGATCAAACAACAAAGGTTGCCGGAAAACAGCTTTTCTGTTTTTTTTTCTCTTCTTTTCCGGCAACAATATTTATAGGAAGAAACTAAGAAAAATAGAGAGAAAAAGATAAGAAGGTGCGTACCATGTCTGAAAATATAACCTTGAGGATGATGTTGAGAAGGTGAATGAAAATTAATCTAAATTTTGCTGTTAAAAAAAAAAAGAAAGATGAATGAATGAATATTAAGGTGGTGCTTTTTGATATCAACAATGGAAGAGAGTTAATATATATATATACCTTTGATTCATTTCTGGGTACAGTGGATGCTTTGTTTTGTTTTGCTCATTTTATTTGCTACTCCTAATCTTTCTCTCATTTGTCATCTTTTATAAAAGTTTCTAAAAGCAAATTAAAAATGGTTTCTTTGGGATTAAAATATTATTTCAGTATTGTTTTTTTTATTGTAATTGTTAATTTTTAAAATGAAACTCATGACAACCATTATCATTCTGCTATACTATTTGACTCTTCATTCAAAGTATCGAGTCAACTTTACATTTATCAAAATTTATTCCGAGTTAGTTTTGTATTTGTTTTAAGAATTTAAATTACATTTTACCAAAAAAAGTTTTAAATTTTATATATATTTTTGAATAATGTTCTCAAATTTATTATTTTTAAGAAAAATATTTTTATTTATGTTATTGATAGAAATTTTGATTTTTCAAAAATAATTGTAAGATTTATAGAAATAATAGAAGATACGATGCATATAGAGTGTATTCTACCAAATAATGAATATATCTTAAAATTATTTAAATAACATAGTAAAATAATATTTTTTTATTGTACAACAATGCAAAATTATTTACACAATCAATCTATTAAATTCATATTTGTTTAATATAAAATTATTAAAATATAGATAAATTGAACGACAATGAAAAGTTATATTTAATTAAACTATTTTCATAAAATTGTTATATTTTTACCAATAACAATAGAAAAAGTCATATGTATATAATACTTTTGGAAATATATTATCACCCTTTATTCATCGCTTTTTTTTTTCTTTTTCAGAATTATATTTCACCTAAAATGAGATATAAGTAAAATAATTAAAATGTCAATT